CCCAGAATGTGACATATGGGGTCATTCAAGAGCAAAGCATAATGTAAGCTTTAAGCTCAAAGTAAATAGATCAAATAAAAAGCTCATTTTCAGATTCCTCTGCTTTAAGCTACATATTGATTCATGGATCATGTWGATGTCATTGACTGGTTTCAGACATGCTTTATTTTTTTTCATATTAATCATAACAATGCATTTATATTTGTTGTGATTCCTACTTTTAGGTTATTCTAATGAGGACTGTTTCAATGTAATTTTAAAGAGGCAATAGTTTGATATTGAAATATAGTWTGTTGTGCCACCATTTTCCTTGTATTGTTTTTTTTTTTCAGTTGAACATTACAAATAGATGACACAACATTAAAATGTTTGCACTCATCAKTAAAAGAATAATTGTTGCATCATTGTTTAAACTAAGTTTGATTCCTGAAGCAAGCCATATTGTTCTTTTATGTACTGTGTGCACTAGCTGTGCAGGCAGAAGACATAATTAGTCCCAAGACAAGCGCTTCATCAGTCATTTCTAGTATTAAAAGGCTGAGACAGAATGCAGATGTCATTTTAGTTACATTTCTAAAATGATAAAATAATGGCAATTTTGTGTCTGTGTGCAGTGAGGCGTTGCTGCAGTTTTATACATCACAATAAATGATGCTGCAGATCACAGCATGCCAGATAGTAGAGTGTGAGCAGTTACATAACCACCAACCAGGGACTGGTGAGCTGAGAAGACAGCAAAAAATCAGAGATGTGCTAGCTCAAGGATACCCACACATTAAACATTTTTTTTATTTTAAAGTGAAAAAAAAAACTTTGAATGAGAAGTTTGTTCTGTTGTTTTGTGTTTACAGCAGACAATTGTGCTTCTGTTCAAAAAAGTAGACACTCCAGGATTTTCTTGATGCATGGAAAAAAAGGCTATAAAATTAAAAATATTAAATAATMAACCCCATGCAGCGTTTGACCCTGCGTCTGCTCAAACTATGTTTCCCTGCAAGTCTAATTACAGTGTACAGTTGACGCAATGTTYCTTTTTTGACAAAACTTGTTTCTAAAACTTTCAAACATGGCTGTCAGCACCTCCAGCCAAATATGCAACACACAACAACATGACAAAACCCATTTAAATCAAACAGAAATGTCATGAGGAATACTGCTTCCATTTTCCCGACTCCATCCAGTAAACATCCCAGCATCCAGTTCCCAAGATGCTGTAGGATGTTAGATCTATAACCAACAGGTATAATCAAAAATGCATGTTCAGCCTCTTTGCCAGGAAGTGGATGTGCCAGTCATGACAAAAAAGTTCCCTGAGACAGCAAGTTTATTTTACATAGTTATTTTTTATGGATGATTGGTGGGCTTCTTACCTCAAAAAAGCTACAAGAGCATCTTACTGCAGGCTTGACTCTTTTAACGTGTCCTAGATTTACCAGCAGGGAGTTCTCGTGCAATTCATCACACTTCTCCAGTTTGTTCATAAATATTCAACCTCCTATAAGAGTTTCAGGATGTGAGTTCAGCAAGCTCACACAAAGTGTAGGCTCTTGTGAACAATCAAAATATGAAGCCTATATCTTAGATCAGGGGTTCTCAAGCCATTTGGGTCTGGGTACCCCTTACAAGGGTGAAAAAAAAAATTGCAGAGACCCCCTCATAAACCCTGTGCTGTTTTAAAAGATGATTTATTGTCATTTCAACCCCTAAATGCCAGGGAAATATTTATTTTTTAAGTTTATCGTGTTTGTTTTATTAGTTTATTGTTCTCCATGCATTTTAAAAAATAAAAACCAAATTAACATTTTAGTAAATATTTTTGAGGACCCCCAAGATACCTCTCGCGGACCCCTGGAGGTCCAGAGACCCCAGTTTGAGAACATATGTCTTAGATGTTACTTATGAGCAAAATTTTTCATATTTTGAATTAATTCAATCCTGTTGACTGAGTTGCTAAAGTGTTTGCTTGATGATGTAATTATCTCTTCTCTTTCTCCCTGTCTCTTATATCCTTATACCCCCCCACCCCATCCCTTTTATACTTTATCCCAAACCTTTCTTTTGGYTTTTTCCCCTCCTATGCCTTCCTCTGTACACTTACAGGACTATACACTGACAATGTACTTCCAGCAGGCTTGGAGAGACAAGCGGCTGTCCTACTCTGAGATCCCACTCAACCTAACCTTAGATAACMGGGTAGCTGACCAGCTCTGGGTCCCTGACACCTACTTCCTCAACGACAAGAAATCGTTTGTCCACGGTGTCACTGTAAAAAACAGAATGATTCGACTGCACCCAGATGGCACWGTGCTGTACGGTTTGAGGTGAGATTTTAATCTCGTAGAATGCCCATTTAGCACTGTGTGTTATTTATTGCTTACACTCCATGCGTAAAGTAGCAAATAATGATGGACACTTTTTAGTACCCCTGCAACACATCTATTTTAAGATCACGCAAACAACCTAGAAGCAAACAAATTTTGTAGCTTCAGTGTAACAATTTGTGAAGTGGACCAAGCAGTAATTAGCTCATTAGAGCCAGATGAATAAAATTAATGATGTGAAGTGCTGCTGTRTAGCCTCTGAGTGCAAGTTATAATGTTGATGACCTACTTTTGTCCTCTTTTGCAGGACATATGCACATCACTGTCTAAATCTCAGTAATGTTTAATGCTGAGATTTAGGCAAGGTCTCTGCATTTCTTCTCTGTTTGTTTCAACATACACCAGGGATGTGTTCTGTTAATATCAGTTTGTTGGCTAATTAGCTGTTCAGTTACAGCACATTTACCTCTTTAAAACATTTCAATATATGTTTTATGAGGCAGTATAGATTTCACTGTTATTTTTACTTTTCATGATGGCTTGTGGAACATTGCGACCCCAGATTGTTAGAATAGAATAGAATAGAATAGAATAGAATAGAATGGAATGGAATGGAATGGAATGGAATGGAATGGAATGGAATAGAATAGAATAGAATAGAATAGAATAGAATAGAATAGAATAGAATGCCTTTATTGTCATTGCACATGCGCATAACGAGATTAGGGCCACTCCCACAGCAGTGCAAATACACATTAAAAGAAAAAGAAGAGAATAAAGAGTAGCCACTGTCCAGGATGAAACATCCAAGATCCATAAATACATCAAGGACAAAGCCTCAACGGACGATGTGCTCAACGAATGTCTCAGGCAATGGGG